ACGAAGTTTTGTTTAGTCAGGCCCACACAGCACGTTTAAGCATTGAGAGTGTGTCGTTCATTTCTCACACATTGGCCGACCTCATGGTTGAAATAAAGACTAAATAAAATAATAATAAAAAAATAACATTTCCCAAATAATGGGCACCAGAAGCCGGTGTTCGAGCCCTGGTTAAAAAAAAAATTTTTTTTTTAAGTCTCACTGAGGATTGTGTAACTAAAAGTCTACTCGGTGAAATTTTAATTATCATTGTGTACATATGGCAATCAATTTACGAAATTCCCTCGTGTCCAAACTATTCATAAAAAAAAAAAAAAAATTCCCTTGGGTCCATGGTAGGGCAGAAGAAAAATTAAATCACATGACTGGAACCGACAAAAATTTACCAGCTTTTTTGTTTGCTTAAGCGAATTTGAATGAAAAGATTTTTGAATTTGAGACGCTAATTTCAAAGCGCGCGTATTTACAACAACCGTGAAATTTTGAAACGCTTAAAAAAACAAACAAAAACAAACAAAAAAAACAGATAGCTACACAATCTTCCTCCATTACACTTTTTTTCTTTTTCTTTGATTAGCCCGTACCACAAAACAAATCTTAGTAAATAAATGTAGAGAATAACTCTTTAGAGACAAGCTAGTGACATGCCTTGCCTTCTTGTTTGTTTCTTTTTTGAGTTTGGATAAAAAAAAAGAAAATTGAATGCTGATTTTCTAGGAATGTCTTCATCATTTGGGGGCTGAACATTTTTGTCATGCCTAAAATTTTAAAAAAAAAGTATCGAAACTAAACCTTTTTTGTTCTTTATTGCATTTTTTTTTCTAAACATGAAACCGGTAAAAAAAATAATCAATCTACCAAAAAAAAACAAAAAAAAAACTAACCTAATAATAACCCAACAATATCCTTTGAACAAATAAACAAAATTAAGTAAACGACCTCAAAAAGGGCATGAACTTTCATTCTAAAAAAAGAAAGAAAGAAAGGCCTTTCACCACGTAACACTTAAATTATTTATTCTCACATACACGTATTTAATTTATATCTAATTTAAAAAATGGCCATACTTAACTTTTTGGCGCTACGCAATCTTCCTTTTTCTAAGCAATCAGTAGTGTACTGTCGAATAACTATTTAGTACTTGCTGCAAGCTTTAGCTTCTGAACGTGGATTTTTTTTTTTTTTTTTTTTTTAATGGAGATACCTAGGATCGAACTCCTGACACTGGTTTCTAGACTAATTAATTTCTTAACCTTCGTTTACCGACATGTATCTCTCTGGCCGGAGCCTAACAAGGCACTTTCCAATAAAACATGGTTCTTTTAGCAACAATTCCCTAAGATTATGCCAATGGATTAAGAATGGTACAACACGAGACTCAGTCTTTGAGAGCTAATCTCACAAGCCAACGGTTAGTAAATTCTCATAGGATGAGCCACATGTCCTTAGAGAAGAACTAAAACTAGCCATAAGAAAAATATATTCATTTCATGAAGATGAAATTAAATCTTCGTGAGGGTTCCCCTTCATCGTAAAGGAGGAAGAAGGGGACAATTATTAATTAATTGTTTGATAACAGATTCTCATATGGTACCATATTTTAATTCTTTTGGGAAATCAACCCTGGCTTTCTCCCTCTCTCACTCCCCCTCTCATACACACACAAGAGAGGGGGGAGTGCACCTGTTTTTGCTATTTGTCAGCAGAAAACAATAGTATTTAAATATTTATTTAAGGCAAGGGGCCAACTACATAGCTACTATTTCTGTCTGAGAAAAAGTGTATTGTCGTATTAGTTGCCACAGAAGATTACAATTGTGTACAGAATTAAACTGACATATTTTTTTTTTTAGACAAAAAGAACAATGGAAAAAAAAATATTTTTTTTTTTTTAAATTCATTGCTTAAATTTGTTTTAATAAATTTGCTTTGAAAGTTATAAAGGAGAGAAAGAAAGTGTACCTTGTCTGCATAGAATCTCCCTTTCCACAAATAGACACAAAATTAAAAAGTGGAAGAATTTGTGATGAAGTCAAGAGATGATGAGGATTTTTTTTTTTTTAATCGGAAAAGCGGACAAGGAAAATAATTTAAACAAAAATAAACTTCAACAAAAAAGACATTCTTCATTCATGCCACCTGATCATGTGATAGATTTGTTGAATTTGGATATTTTTTTCAATGTTTTTTTTTTTTGTCTTTTTAAGGCTAGTTATTAATTAATTAAAAGAAGTTTTCTTTTTTTTTTCTGTCTCTCTCTAACTCATCTTTTCATTTCATCCTGCTTTTATTTCTTTTTTTTTTTTAAATAATTCTTTTAATTTCATCACTTAACAATGGAAAAAAAAAGAATAATGTAAAAAAAACTTTACAAAACAAAACAAAAAAGACTATTTACCGACACAAACAATCAAAAACTATTTTTTACGCAAGCACCAATTAAAGAAAAAGACACGGGCTCCTTACGAGTGAATATTATGATTAAGAAGAATTAATCATTTTTTTTCTTTAAAAGACTTAGTCTAAAGTTCTTTTACAGATGGATAAGCAACAAACACGAAAAAAACATTAATCAATATACCGAAAATTCCTTTGTGATTGTAGAAAGAAAGCGTAGTAGTAACATTAACATTAAAATGAAATCAGTCACCGTTCAGCAATAAAGAGCGACACATTTTGCAGGATTGATTGCGAAAATATACCGTTTTTTACCATGCCTCATATAGCAGAAAACTAGAAAAGCAAAAATTATAACTTGTCCTTTAAAAAAAAAAGAAAAGTAATTAAAAAGGAAATCATCAAAAAATGTTCTTGATTTTTTTATCATTTTCTTTTAAATTTTATCTTCCTTTTTAAACAGAACTTTAAGCCAGGAGAGGAGATTATTTTTTTTAATTACTTATCAATCGAACAGCTTTGTTTGAGGAGGCCCATGTGTTTATTTTAAAAAAGACTATTTTTTTTCTTTCGGTACTGAACTTTATTGATCTCACCTTTGAATGACTCAGGAAAATAGTCAGTTAAAAAGGCGTATTTCCAATATGAGGCTCTGTAAAAAACGCTTTATTTTTAGTATAAGTAATAATAGTTGTAGTAGTGTTGCAGTATTACTATTAGCAAAGATTTAGCATGGAGTTTTACTTCAGGTGCTCTTTGTGTCGACCGAGGAAACGTAACATTCTTTCAACAACTTTTTGAATTCATTTTGACATTTTAATTATTAAACAATAAAATTAAGTAAGATAGTTTTTGTAACTTTTTTTAATAAAGTTTTTTTTTTTTTTTTAGTAAAATTAGGCTAAAAAATTCAAGAAAACTGTATATTAATGTTTCATTATCTGTAAAGGCAAAACAGGTCAAAGGTTAGTTCTCCAGTTACTTTATAGAACATACCCCCCCCAGTATTACTGAGTGACTGACAATAAACAATAGAATTAAATTGCGTGTGTGAAAAGAGTATTAGCAGTAAATGTGTCAAAATTTCTCGAATGTCAAAATGTGGGTTGAGAAAACAAAGCAAAAAAAAGAAAAAAGATACACAAGAAAAATCTTAGCCTAATTCTGGCACAAGGCTACGAATAGAGGGCGACGATGATTAAAAATTCAACTTGAATTCAAATCAAGTTTAAAAATCAAATCAATATTTTATTTTTATGGTAGAAAAAATTTACAGTAATTTTCTAGTAAAAATAGAATCTGAGAAAAAGAAAAAAATCCTTTTTGATAAGCTGCTAAAAACTGTAAAAAAAAAAAAACTGTTTAAAAGCCGATAGTCTCATATTTGAACTAACTGATAATTTAAAAAAAAAAAAAAAGTCTAAATACTTACTTAATTAAACTAATTTAAATCATGATACAAAGTGTGGATCAATAAGTCCGTAACTTGAAATGTAGTTATATTCGTTATTGATCGGAAATCGGAATTGTTTACAGTTTACTCACTGACTGTATGATTTACGAAACATAAAATTAATATATTATTGAAATTGAATATTTTTTTAGGTACTTCAACTTTTTAAATCAAGTGCATAGCCAGGGACGGAGGTAATTATGTTGAAAAAGTAAATGCCTTTTTTTTTAGTCATCGTTAGGCTGCATATGTGCAAATTTATTCATGCTTCTTACTTAATTGATTTTTTACAAAATTTTATTCTTAATGAATTTCATGTCAGAGATGCTGTAGTTGTACACAAACAAGGCCATCATAAGTGATGCAACGAATGAGGGTCGAACTAAAACTGCGAGACGTGGTTGCTCGTTAACCATCATTCGCCGATCGATTTTTTAGTTGCAAAAATCACCTACAGGCGTGCACAGAGATACAGGCCAACAGATAGAGATTTTATTAGAACTATATGTAGACCGGTATAGACATTAAAACTGCACTATTAAGAAAAACAGCGATGTACACATTCAAACACGTGTACCCACGTGTATAGTAGGTACCATAGAAAATGAAAAGAATGAAATTGACACACGTGTGTGTATGCGTGTGTGCACGCGTGTGTGTATGTGGATAGGTGGTGGTGGTGGTGGTGTAAGTTCTGGCAAGCTGTGCAGGTGTCGTCTATAATGGCAGGCCCCAGGCCAGATTATAGTAGTAATCGCCTTTTGTTGGAAACAGCTTGTGTAACAGAAAAAGTAGTTAGCACAGAAACAAACATTGTTTCTACTACGAAAATCGCTTAAAGGAGAATTTTTTTTTTTTTTTTAAGCTGATTTATTTTTCTTTCAAATTTTATATACAGAAAATAATTTTTCGGAAGTTAAAAAAAAAAAAAAAGCCCAGCTATTTTCATATCAGAGGAGTAACTGTGTAGTGTAGTGTAAGTAAACTAAATTAAGGAGTGTAAAGAATCAAGAAAAATTACGCGAAAAACTCACATGTGCCGTCAATACTACATCATTCTACGTTACTGGATTTGTGACGTACTACAAATCTATCTATCTATCTATCTATCTATCTATCTATCTATCTATCTATCTATCTATCTATCTATCTATCTATCCTTTCCCATTTTTTTCTGATAGATATAATAAAGAGAATGAGATAGAGAGAGATAGACAGAGAACGAGATAGATAGATAGATAGATAGACAGACAGACAGAAAATGGGGTAGATAGATAGATAGACAGTGAACGGGATAGATAGATAGATAGACAGTGAACGGGATAGATAGATAGATAGACAGTGAACGGGATAGATTATGAGATATATAGAAAAGTAGATAGAGAAAGAGAAGAGATAGATATGAAGTTGAAGAGAATGAGCAGTGAAGAGGAATTATAGATGAAAATTGAACACAATGTGACGAATGAACATTGCTAAAAACACGTCAATTCTTTTTTTTAAGATCTGTTCCAACTGAAATCTCTGTTGCAGAATTTTTTTTTCACCGACCTCAATACAGTACGTTTGTGTACTTGAAAAATCGGCGACACTCAACATTCTATACAGATAGAGGTCATTATCAAATGACTTGTTTGAACCTATCATAATTTAAGCCGCATGAAAAAAAGATTCCCCTTTCTTGTTTTTCTCATGTTTCTTGAGTGGTGAACTTTATCTAAAACACAGGAGTGATGATAAAAATTCATGGCATAGACAGTTCTGTTATCATATAATGATTTGCGCCTTTAAGAAAGAAAAAAGCTATCAATGTGAAAAAAAGAGATAACGGAAAAGGAAAAATCATTTTGTTTTGCTGAGAAAGTAGGTTTCATTTCTTTGGAAAGTAATTTGAAAGAAAAAAATGAAAGTAAAAAATGATAAAAGATTCATTTCGAGAGAAAAAAAAAATTAAACCCAAGGTCGGGACACTGTAAGGATCGAACTGGCTACTAACGATCCACCAGCTTAGCTCGCTGACAATTGCATCACGATGAGGCGTAGAAGGTAAAAAAAAACTAAGATAAATGAAGCGAAGTTGGTTGTCATTGTCATTTTTTTTGTTGTTGTATCAATGACATGACAAGTTTTCAAAAAAATGACAAAGATGGCATGTCCTGGCTTAAATGTAAACAAGATTTTTTTTTTTAATGACAACTTGAGAATGTAAACTTTACATTGTAAAGTTTTATAAACCAATGCACTCATGATGAAAACGATTTTTATTTTAAGGAGATAAAACAATCACGTTTTAAAATTACGTAATTCTCTTGGCAAAGTTTAAAAATGTAAAAAAAAAAAAAAAAAAAAAAAATGGAAATGAATTTTATTTAATTATTATCTTTAATTCAAATTAATTTCCAAAACCAATAAACAACATAATTTAAATAAATAAAAAAAAATATGTTAAACAAAAAAAGGTTAAAAAAAGACAAAAACAAACAAAAAAAAACATGAAGAAAGGATGATGAGTATAAACTTTCAATTTCATCATAAATAGTTTGTTTACCTGAAAATGACATTGTCAACAACAATGCATACTAACAAAAAACAAGAAATAGGGGAGGGGGAGAGAGAAAGAAAGAAACAAAGAAATGTTACATACTAACAAGATTTATTGAAACCCACGTGGGAAGGAAAGAAAACAAGAGTTAGAAAGGTAGTAGTTAAGGACCCATGTATAAGTCGAGTAGAGGAGGGGGGGTTAAGTAGTATTACTCCTAGTAAGTAGAACACACTAGAGAGAGAGAGACTATATAGCTAGAGTAACTAACAAGACAAAGGAAAATTGAACACAAAGTACTTTAAAATGGGAGTAGTTAGAGTAAAGCCGACTATGACAGTCAAAAGGTCGACAATAATGTACAATAAACTTTTTTTTTTACGAACATCATATAAAAAAATGTAGCATGTGAAAAATTATTCCTCTCTAGTCAGTGTAAAAAAATGGTAAATGCCAAGAGGTAGAAGTTAGTAAATATTTGGTACATTTTTAGTTTTTTAGTGTACGGTAATAATTATTAATTGTTAAAAAGTCTTATACTAAGTATGCAATCTTTCCTTTGTCTTCGTTTGAAATGTCAAACAAGAACTGTTCTTTTACTTTCGTTCCATTTTAGTTCAAAATCATAAATAAAGAAACGGTATATTCAGAAAATTTATTTATTTGGTTTTTATAAGTAAAATAAATCATTACAATTTGTGAAAATAACCTATGACCCTAATAAATTAAAGAAAAATCTCATGTATCTCATTTTTTCTTCTCTCGAAATCTTGACTTTTGTTTTTACAAGAGAGGAAAGCAGAGATGTCTTTAGTGAAATTGAATTATTACACAGCAACAAATGTTTGTTTCTTGAGAAAGGGATTTCCAATTCAGTAAGAGAGTGGGACGATGAGCATTGTTAAAAAAAAAACTTTACCCCCAACTAAGAGACAAAGAATAATAAAATTACCCCAGATGAGGAGGAAGGGAGAGAGAGAAAGAGAGATATGAACTTTGACAATTAATTTCATTTTAAACTAAAAACACAAGGTACAGATTTTTTTCCCTTTGCAACAGTTTGAAAAGATATCCCCCTAATTAATAAAAAGGCTAATAATGGGTTAATTTTTATTTTAAAAAAATGTATTTTTTAATTTCTGCAGAAAAAATAACATACTAACGATTCTAATGATTAAGAAGAATAAAAAAAAAATGAAAAAAAAAAAAAAATCATCATGAAGTGTCAAGTTCTTTTCTTAACAAAAGCGTCAAAAAGACAATTTGAATTATAGCAAAAAACATTGAAAGTGATGTTCCATCGTAAATTAAAATGACATACACACACATTTATCTATCTGCCTATCTATCTGTGTGCATACACACACTATATACAAACAATAGACACATACACGCAGTATATGTAATGTACGCACACAATGGTCGGAGATCGGAAAAACAAAGCCATGTGTAAGTGACTTGTGTTCGTGTGTGCGTTCGAAAGACAAGTGTTGCGCATATGGCTAAGAAGCAAAGAGAAGCAGAAACAATTGGCATTTTTCTTTATTCGAAAATAACATCATTAGATCAAGAGATTTCCCAACATACAAGACTGACCACACAAAACATGGGGTGCCCCAAAAATCTTTTAAAAAAATCAAAATACCACAAAAACCAGAAGCGAAACAACGTCTTTTTAGTCTTTAATGAGCTAGTCGTTACCCCACCAACGAACAAAGCATAATAATCAATATAAGCATTTACAACAGAAGAAACGAACAAAAAAAACTCCCCTAAAAAGTGAGTAAGAGGTATAAGATTTTACAAGCATATGAATAGATAAATCAACTTGAGATGGTTGGGGGTGTTTTTTTGTTTTTTTTTTTGTGTGACGACAGGTTTGAAATATTTTGTCCAGGCTTGTTTGGCAATGTCTCTAAAAAAAAGTTTAGTTTGAAAACTCAAAATTATTTAAATTTAAAGACGTTGTTAAGATAGACAAAATAAAGTAATAAAGAGCTTTATTTGGAATTTAAACAAGATTATAAAAATAAAGACTGATTCTTTGAGCAATTTTTTTAAATGTCAAAAAATTCATGTGGCCAGACGTACGCGCGCTCGCGCGTGTCTACGCTTCTGCCAAACAAAGACGGCAGCTAAAAATGACAATTATTATTAATTATATCTTCTAAAAACATCAACCTCGTACGAATGTTTAATTTCCAACCTTGGATTTTACTCAACTTTTAGTTAACTAATTAAAAATCGAATCCGCATTTTTAGTTTTAAAATATAATAATAATTTGTACGTCAGAGTTTAAAACTAAGATAGAAAGAGAAAAACACTGGGGAAAAAAAAAGGAGAAAGTAAAAAAAAAAAAAATCTACACAAAGAACGAATAATAATTCCGATTTTTTAATTTAAAGTTCTGAAATCTTCGACATTTAAGTTGAAATTACTCGAAAGCAAAATAGACAAAGAAAAAATTGTTTGAAGGGAATTTAGTTTGAAAAAATTCAGTAAGTTGCCCTTTTTCCCCCATAAAAGTCTTCATAGTTTTTTGAATGAAAAAGGAGACTCTAAATTTGAGATTAAAAATATGAAACAATTTTGGTTCAAAAATAAATAATGTAATTTATCATTTATTAATAATTCAAACTGTTTCTTCTTTTTTCTTTAAACATTTCGACATTTTTTAGTTGGCCTCATATCGAGAGCACACACGCTGTGTACGTGTGTTCGTTTTTATGAACAAGCAGTGAAACCAGATGGTTACTTTTCAAACAGTCTATCTCTAGAGATGATAGAAAAACAAAAACAAAACCTTTGCCCCCAAAATAAAGAAAGTTCAAAGGATAAAAAAAATGTTTAAAAAAAAAATCAATAAAAATTGTAAATATAAAATAGATGTAATACTGACATTTCTGACAAAGAATGACAAAGACCATATTTGCGAGAATCTTGATTGATGTCCCAAAAATAAAAAAAATTCAAAGTTTATGTCTGCTCTAATTATTTAATCCAAATAATTATTGTATAAATAATTATTTACATATGACGAAATATTTCCTTTGTTTTTCATTCAGTAAAAAAGCGTTAACATTTTTTTTTCATTAAGATTCAAATTTTTTTGAAAAATCATTCATAATTCATGTGAGAAATATGATATCTTCACGAATTTTTAAAAAGGATTTGGTTATCTTTATTATAGAATTACTTTCAAACAAACTGTATGTAAGATTAATAATAATAAAATATTAATAATATTCTTAATAATGATTCCTTTTTCTTTCTACGAAACGTGTTGATCTGTCAAAAAAAAAAAACCTCAAACAAAAGACAACGAACAAAATGTGAATGAAAGAAAAAAGTAATGTCAAATTCTTGTATGCCAATTTTCCATGTGTCATTTATTTTTCGAAACAAAGAAAGTAGAACTCAACCGAATTTGATTTATCTATCTCTAAAGAGAATATAAATGTTATATACTCTAGAAAAATTACGTTAAGAAATACTTAACAATAAAAAAAAAAGAGTCATTTATTTAATGAACGGCTGACGAAGCCATGTGGCTTACTTTTCTCTAGCAAACAATAACAGCAGTAACCTAATAACCAGCATTTGAACATCAAGAGACAAAAACGAACCGAATAAAAGTGTAAATAAAGACAAAAAGCAGCAAAACTCAATAATATTACCAAGAAAGGAAGACGCAAAAGAAAATAACAAATAATTTATTATACAGAAATCATAAAAAGAAGAGAAAATAGTAATTAATGAACGTCAGAAGAAACATGTGTGAGTGTGCATGATAATGGGGACTTGACATCCAACAGTTAGCAGATCAACAATTTAAAAAAACCTTTTTTTTTTAAGGTTCATATGAAGTTCGATGACTAAAATATATTGTAGGAAGATCCTGGAAGTGGTTCTTAAATAAAATCGATCATAAT